TGAGGTGTAGAGCCTTCGTCACAATATTACTCACATCAGACAATGGTGCTATCATACTGTATTAGGTCGAGTTTTAGCTGTATTGTAAACAACAACGATTTTGACTGGAAATTCTGAGAAGTACAAATTCCATGATCAGCTGCACGGTTCTATGCGGCTCGACAAAGCTTTGCTAGTTTAGGCAGTAGCTGCTGGCTGGCAGGCAGCTACATCCATTCTGAGGAGGTTAGGGTTATGACGAAGGTGCTACAGATAAACATATGATCAAAGACTCTTCAACTAGCGATAAGATTCCTCATACCTACCAGGGTGTTGTTTTAATGTGGAAACGGGTTCTTTATGCTGAGACAGAGACAGACTTCTCAACAAGCAGTCACTTATCAATCAGTACTGATTACTGATTGATACTGATATGGTATCAGTATCAGTAAGCTCCTGCTCAATCAATCAGTAATCAGTAACACACGTGCATCAATCAATCAGTAATCAGTAACTCACGTGACCGTATTCAGCATTCTGTGGCACGAGTAGTGCGCGATCCGACGCGTCGGACGCGTGCACATACGTTTCAGCGAAACTTCCGAGTATGCTAATACATATTAGCGGGTACAACCACAGCACCACGTTGGTATGTGTTAGGCAAAGTATCTTGCAGTTAAAACCATCATCATGACAAGAGCCCAGAATTGCGTGCTTTCTATTTGTTCAACGGCAACCAATTTTTATTGCTCTGAATCAAAGCTACCTGACCGGATTCCGGAAGAATATTTGCAATTGACTATTGAGAGTTGATGGTACTGGAGCAGAGAGACTCATGCTGCGTAGTTAAGAGATACCAGCCCCGCCACGACAGACAGGCGGCAAACCCAGTATTCATTATCTCATGTATAGGGTGGGATAGCTTGTATATCGTCTCCAGAGCTGACCAGTTCGGGATGCCAATAAACATGTTGGTCACTACGTAAGATCTACATTCATATAGGTCAAGGTATTAATATATTCCCTGGACTTCTCTTGTTGAGGGCTTCTGGGCGATATTCATTCCAGCATGGTTGGGGATACATTTCCAGTTGTCAGTTTGGTAGTTTTACAATCGGACCGTGACAAACCTTGTCAACCAAGACCGAGACTAAATCAAGTCCGGCCCACTTGAACGATGTTCCACCTTGCATAAGAAAATAAATGTAAGATACAATGTCTACTCCTCCGGGCTATTCTATGCTCAGCCGTTTCTTTACCCGAACAGGAGAGGACTCAGAGGAGGCCGGCGTGCTAGGTC